GAGAGAGAGAGCTGCGCAGTCGAGAGAGAGAGAGCGAGAGATAGGAGAGGAGAGGAGAGAGAGGAGGAGACGAATCGAGATCTATAGGAGAGAAGAGATAAAGAGGCAGGAGAGGAGAGGCACGAGACGAGCGAGGCGGCGAAAGAGAGAGAGAGACAGGGAGATAACGAGAGAAGAGAGAGGATGAGACTAGGGAAGACGGAAGAGAGAAGGAGATAGAGGAGAAGAAGACGGGAGAGAGAACAGACGAGAGGAGACGAGAGGAGAGAAGAGAGAGAGAAGAGAAGAGACGGACGAGAGACGAAGGAGAGAGAGACGAGGCAAGACGAGAGCCGAGAGAGAGAGGGAGAGAGAGACCGAGAGAAGGAGAGAGAGAGAAGGAGAGAGGCAGAGACGAGAAGAGAGAAGAGAGAGAGAGAGAGCGACGAGGAGAGAGAGAAGAGAGAGAGGAGGAGAGAGAGAGAGGAGAGAGGGAGAGAGAAGAGTAGGAGAGATGAGCGGAGAGGGAGGAGAGAGAGAGAGAGAGCAGAGAGAGAGAGAGAGAGGAGAGAGAGAGAGAGAGAGAGGAGAGGAGAGAAGAGAGAGAGAGGAGAGAGAGAGAGAGAGAGAAGAGAGAGGAGAGAGAGGAGAGGAGGAGAGATGAGAGAGAGAGGAGAGAGAGAGAGAGAGAGAGAGAGAGAGAGGAGAGGAGAGAGAGAGGAGCGCGCGCGGAGAGAGAGAGAGAGAGAGAGAGAGAGAGAGAGAGACGTAGACAGCGATAGAAAACTGTAGACATTTAATAGACGTTGTATGCCGTAGGTAAAGTTGTAAACAATATGTCAGTTATTCTTATACCGCTACAGTGCCCGCTCAAACTTAGCGCGCAATTACATGCATATTAAAAATAGTATTATTAAACTGTTCGCAGGACTGTCTCGAATTAGAATCGATGAGATGCATGCGACAAGGAGTCGAACCCTCTTCTACAGACTGTGCCGAAGCGGAGCAATTGCAGAGGATGTAGCTAGAAGGGAACTTCGCTGGCTCGCAACCAGATTCCACAACGTTCTCCTCCACTCGGCGCATAGCCATAGAATGCTGACACGCAGCGAGTATACGACCTGCAACGAATGTCTTCGGATGGCGCGCGCATCTAAACGCGTCCAGAAACGACCATACGTGAAACATGTCAAATAGAGTTACTATTCACTTTTAACTCTTTTTCACTATTAAAGATTACATATTGCGATGATTGAAATCTGGTACGATGCGCTGACATTAATTTTATCGATCTCATTTTTCTACCGATGTTGTGATCTCCGTGTAGTTTTTCGTATTTTATTTTACGCACAGACGACACGTGTATGTAAAAGTGCGAATGAATGAATATTTCATAAACATGGCAAGTAACTATTACAGTTGTATAACATTAAGTTGTCATTTTATGGATAAAAATATCGTGATGTACCAAATCAGGTATCATGCCATGACTTTATTGATGGTATACTATTTCTACCAATTACCTCGTCTGTATATTTTAGCCTTATAATAGGTTATAAAACCAGCATATTCCTCGTCTATACTTTTAAACCAGAGCTTTTAAACTTTTACAACTTTACTTTTATATCTGCATATGTAAAGACAAGTTGGCTTATTACAATAAATTTATTTAAAATTGTTTAACATTGTATTATAAAATGCCTTTGTATCTATTATATTATATTTATATGTGTTTACGTAAACATATTTATATTTCCTGACAAATACACCATGCAGTGATTTTGACCAACAGTGACAAAATATATATAACATTATTTATTTATTTACAATTTTCTGACAACTACACACATGATGAATTGTAACTCGCATGGTATCTCCGACGCATTTTACGGTGTACATATATGCCAATTAAAGTCCAATATGCTGGACTGCCAATCACCCATTATTACAAAATGCTATAGTATCTTAGGATTATCTGAGTAGTCCAGCTGGTATGTAGAGGTTCGCCATGTTAGACCATCTCCAGAAGGCTTGTGCATAGATGGCAGTAAAATGTGTCTCCAAAATGACCTGGAAGATTAAACACCGTACGTACTTTTAACAAATTTGCATACAAAATAAAGCAATGGTAAGTACTAACGTATACATATTTGTTTAAAACAAACAACACTTCAGAAATTGGGAATGAAGCGAATCCAAGTGACACTTGAAGATGCACGTCCAATAGAGGAATGCCAGACACACTGTTATTACAGTTGTTGTTAAATCTTTAAGAACCTACAGTAAAATTAAACCCGTTGGTGCGAGGAATATTTAATATATTACTATACCAGTGCTGCCACTCAGGATATTACAAAAAAAAGTATAAAATCTGTCCAGAAAAAAGCATCAAAATTGTTTAAAAAAAGTATAAATTTATATCAACCTATCACGATTTGTAGTCACTTGTTACCTTATACATTGTTACCAAATACATTATAGCCTATGTGCAGCATACAAACAAGCTTCAGGAATGATGTGTGCAATGCCATGAGGAGTTGTCTCTTGAACCCTCAGTCTGGAATATTTCAATGCAGTGTTTCCCATGGCTAATAAGATCTGTGAGGTAGGTAAATGTTTTGTGTGTGATGTGTTTGCGCATTTAGAGGTCCTAGCAAAGCGAGCAGCGCAGGTGCCGGCGAAGCTAGGGGGGTCCAGCGGCATGCTCCCCCGGGGAATTTTTGTAAAAATTGTGCAATTTGGTGCGTTCTGAGCTATTCACAACACCTTGTATGAGACTCTTGAATCTCTTTTTCAAGTTGTCAAAGGTTTCGTCAGCGAGGCGGTGTTTTGGAGAAATTTCTGTGTGGCGGCTGAGAATTTTAGCAAGGCGGCCCGCCTCGCTCGTGTCAATGCAGGGGTAACACTACAATGCGCATTGCTCATCGTAGTGTACCTAAACGTATGTCCAAAGAGTTTTGACCATCTTTAGCAAAAAAAAGTATTTAAAAGTATTTATGCATGAAAAAAGTATGAAAAAAGTATAATACTTTAAAAAAAGTATAAAGTGGCAGCACTGCTATACTATATATATTACATATATTACTATATGTCTACAGGTCTTATATATACTACAAATATTCTATAGGTCTACAGGTCCTATATATATTACATATATTACTATATTATATATGTTATATAAATATATATATAATATATTTGATATATTTGATATATTACCCAAAAGTAGTATAAAGTAATTACCTTCCTTGATCTAAACCAAGCAGAATTCGAACGTTTTCACGGGTTCCAAATTGGTACGGATTTCTGAACACCTGTATATGAAATAATGAGAAAAGTATAATCCCATATCGCATTCATTTCTTCATGGTTCAGCATCAAGAAATTGAGGTCTCATTTATTAGTTAGCCCTAAGGCATTACACCAAGCCAACCTCTTTGCTGACACAAAGAGTGGTCACTAAGTTTCTTACATCCTCCTGGTTCTTGTACGCCCCTATTACTGGAGAAGGGCCTGACATTTTACGTGGTCATCTGAGCCAGGATAGATTGACAGTCCCTAACGGTGAGAGCCAGGTTTCGACACCTTGTGAAATTTCACTGCTTTGGCAAGAGTTGGAACTCACAGCTTTCGCAGTGGAAAATAGACATGCTAACCTCTGGACCACTAAACTCTACCTCATAGAGATATGAAACTCGTAGCGGAAGCCATGCTAATAAACTACAAACCTACTTACCACAAATCTAAATCATATTATTTAAAAAGCCATTATAATTTACTAACCTTGCCTTCCTTCTTTAACCTGGCTGCATCAGCCTTGTTAATGTGATGTTCTATGCTGGTTTCCCCCTTCTTGATAAACGCGTAATGCCAGGCTAGAAGAGCAGCGAGTGCTAAACACACACCGCAGCACAGCAGAAATTCAAATACTATGCAGTTGTATGTCAATTTCTTCAGAAATGGCTTTTCAGCAGGATCTTCCTTGTCCAGCTAAAAATAGTTCATACACGCTTCAATATCTTAATTGCAAGGACTTTCCCAAGTACACGCTTTTTTAGGATAATCTGAATCACAATAGATATTAACATTGTAATTACAGTAACAATTAAGTGACACAAAGTAATGCCTTAGGGTATAATGTTGAAGACAATGCTTTACACTAGAACTAATAATTAATTTGTCGCTACATAAACCATAGAAGTAAAACCTGTTAACAATCTGTGTCACAATATCTTTTGTAATGATAATTTTGAGTTTCTCAGCATTCTGGTGGGTTGTGTTATCACCTAATCTTACGTGTTACCAAACAAGTTTTAACACACTCACAATGTCAGCTGTCGTTTCGGAGATGTTAGTTGCAATAATGGTGTCACTGTTGCTCATCACGAAGGGCTCAATGAGTGAAAGATCCAGGCTTAAATTCACTATCCAAAACTTCAATGGCTGGAATTGAGGCTGAAATAGTAGTTACATCCCCATCAATACAAGCTATAAACCAGAACTTTCATATTCGTTAAGAAGATCAAAGCAGAACCACTAGAGCATGCACTTACACAGGTACACATGCATGCTCACACATATATGACAGTACTAAATGGCTACTGTAACTGCTATTACACTAGCGATTGCTGATAAACAGATACAACATTTTCACAACTGCACAAACTGCACCTGATAAAAAAAACTAGTACAATTATGTATTAGCTTTATTACAAAGCACACGGAAACCGTTGAATGCTACCTATTCAACTAAACTGACCTTCATTTCTAGCTCCTCCTATACATAATACTACGAAGCGCTCTGCTGAACTTATTAGTGCAAACTTTATTTATTAGTGCTCAATAATTTTACTTTACAGTTCTGGGTAGGCAAATACGTACTTTAATAAAATACTAACCTCTGGGTTGAAGAAGTGATCCATAAAAAGTGGGTAGGCAGTTATTGCTACATACGTGCTCCCAATCCACATGAACATACAAAAGGAGAAGAAGTATCTGTGATTGTAGTGCCCCACACAGTTGTTCAGCCAAGCTATGCACCAGTCAAGGATTTACACATTATTATTTACAGTCATATACCCATCAATATGGCTGAGAGGGTCTATGTCACCCGGGGTACTGCCGGAACGTACCCTGGGTACGGTCCGGTATACCGGAACGTACCCTGGTACTATCTAATATGCCGGACCGTACCTC